GCCCTTTTAGAAAGTAAATTTACATAAAGGAAATTCTCATGAGTAAATGTGTCTGTATTAGGAAGACAGCTGCAGAAACTTTTATCTGAATAACAAGGTAACTTTTATTCACCACACATTTCTTCCTCTCACTCTCCCAGAATTTGTCTCCACTCCCTCCAGAAGCCCCAAGCTCCTACTCCTTTCTGTAGCTCAGGATGGTATAGAAACCTCAATCATCTGGCTACTAGTTGAGAGTCTCATATTTTCATGGGACTCCCATGCATACATATGTAATTAAAATTGTTTTTCTCCTGTTAATCTCTCTTATGTCACTTTAATTTGTAGACCAGTCAAAGAACATAGAAAGGTAGAAGGAGGCAATATTTTTCCTCCTTTACAGTTCAAAGGCCTGAGGCAACATTGACTGTGTACTGAGGCAGAGTTAAAGAACACCAAGGAGGCCAGTGTGGCCAAGGCAGAGTGAGCAAGGTGAGAACTAGAAGTTGATCAGGAAGCCAAGGCAGGTCAGGTCACCCAGGGCCTTGTGGGTCACAGTTAGAGGCTTTGGCTTTAACTCTGAGTGAGATGGGAGCCATTGGACAGTTTGAGCAGAAAAAGAACAGTAAATCATGTTTTATAAGGATCTTTCTGGCCACTGTGTAGAGAAGGGAAACGAACACCAGTCAGGTGGCTACTGCAATAAATCTGGCAAAGGACGATGGATACTCAGATGAGGGTAGTCAGGGTAGCATCAGTAACAAGTGATAAGATTCTGAATATTTTGACAGAGCCACCAGGATTTGCTAATGTAGGTAGTGGTCTGTGATAGGAAGAGAGCAGTCAAGAATAATTTCTGCCAGGCACAGTGGCTCGTGCCTGTAGTCCTAGCACTTTGCTGAGGCAGGAGGATCGCCTGAGCCCAGGAGTTCGAGGTTGCAGTGAGCTATATATGATCACACCACTGCACTCCAGCCAGGGCAACAGAGCAAGACCTTGTCTCTAAAAAAAGAAAGAATAACTCTCAAGATTTTGGCCAGAGTAACTAACTAGAAAGATGTAATTGCCACTTACAGAGATGGGGAAGCCCAGGGAAAGAGCAGGTCATGCGGAAGATCAGGCTATTTATCTGCTGTGTAACTTGAATGAATTGCTTAACCACCCTGAACCTCAGTTTCCTCATTTGGTTATAACAATTGCACCCTACAGGGTGGTGGTGAGAACTGAGTGAGACCATGAACTCAGAGGCTTGGCATATGTGTGAACTCAATATATGCCTCACACACAGGCCTGGGCTAGCACGTGGCCATCACACCTCCTCAGGAAACAACTGGAAGGAGAGGAAGACTATGACTATAAATCTATACTCTCTAACTCCTCTTCCCTGCTTCCTCTGGGTAGAAGTGGGACAGACCTTTTTGATCTTGTAAGTTTTCTTTCTTTAAGGTCTTTGCTGATGAAGGTGACGATTATGTTAATGGCAACTGGAGGCGGGGATGGTGATAAATGATCATGCTCCCAAGGCTTTGAAGTTTACAAAACACTTCATAGTCATTTTCTCATCTGAGTCTAGCAAGGCAGGAATTATACCCATTTTATGAAGTAGGAGAATGTGGGATTAAAAAAACAAAATGGGTTGGGTGCGGTGGCTCACGCCTGTAATCCTAGCACTCTGGGAGGCCGAGGCGGGCGGATTGTTTGAGCAGGAGTTTGAGACCAGCCTGAGCAAGACCGAGACCCCGTCTCTACTAAAAAAATAGAAAGAAATTATCTGGACAACTAAAAATATACAGAAAAAATTAGCTGGGCATGGTGGCGCATGCCTGTAGTCCCAACTACTTGGGAGGCTGAGGCAGAAGGATCGCTTGAGCTCAGGAGTTTGAGGTTGCTGTGAGCTAGGCTGAAGCCATGGCACTCTAGCCTGGGCAACAGAGTGAGACTCTGTCTCAAAAAAAAAAAAAAAAAATGAAACCCTGGCTGGAAACCCATTGAGAGAAACCGGGCTACCTCACAGAATTTCATTTAATCTGAGGAGGGGGAAGTAGGTGAAGAGGATCCTGAAGTGTGCACCCCTCTTCCTGCTAGAATGGGAATGCCACCCAGCTGTGTCCAACTGCAGACTGTGCCTCCACATCTCTGTCCTCAGAGGAGGGCCCACAAGGGCCTGCCTGGGTCCCGGTCTCCCTGCATCAGCCACTCTGAGCATGCCTGATGTTCAGATGTGTGTGTGGGCTGCAGACTTACTGCTTCCGAGGTTTGGGCAAGTGGGTCTTATATACTGTCGCATTCCAGTTACTCCTTCCAGTTACTCCCAGTTTTTGAGTTAACAGAGGAGGGAAGGGGGCCCAGAAGAGTCAATATGCTTAAGGTAACACAATTAATTAGAAAGTGCAGTCTGGGTTCCAACTCTGAGGTCTGTACCCAGCAAGGGAAACCCTGCATATGTTCCATCCCTCCTTCTCCTCCCAGACTAGAAGAGGGGGCCAGCCCAGCTGCCCCCTCCCTCAATATACCAGGTGCCAGAATGCAGCTGTCTCTTCATTGTTCTCCCCACCCGGGCCAGCTGCAATTGGTGGGGCTGAGCTGGGTGGGGCTACCCTGTGCTGTATGCAGTGAGGCTATCTCCACTGCAGGCAAATTTAGCCAGAGATTGATTCTGAGCAGCGGTTCTGACTGGTGAGAGCTGCCACTGATGGGTCGCGGTAGGGGACTGGGAGGGAAGGGAGAGTCAGGTCAGGGGGGATTAAGAACCCCCAAAAGAAAAATTTGAATTGCCTGGGGAAGAACTCCTGCTAGATCAAGGGAGAAGGGTTAGGGAATCCCAGGTGGGCAGAGGAGGATGAGGAGGTGAGGATTAGAGGATGAGAAGGTCCAGGGCACAGGAGGAGCCGAGGAAGCTGGGAATGTCGGGCTGTAGGTGGTCCCACCTCCTGCTTTACTCTTGCCTTCTTAGTCTCCCCATCTGTGTTGTGCTGAAAACCCTCCTGCCCCAGCTACCTTGCCAAGAGAAAGGGATTCATGAAAGCGAAAATGACCCATGAATTGAGTTGTGGGGAGTATGAAGTTGTGAACTGATGGGAGGGGGAGTTCCTGCCCAACCTGTGTCTTTGCCAGGTGAGGCGGGAGCAGGAAGTGCAAGCCTAAAGCCTGGGTTGCCTACACAGGCACTGACCCACTGACCCCACCATGCCGGCGCCGCTGCTCCCGCTTCTGCTGAGAGTGCTGCTGTCCCGCCTGCTGCTGCCCGCTGCCCGCCTGGCCCGCCAGTACCTCCTGCCCCTGCTGCGCCGATTGGCCCGCCGCCTGGGCTCCCAGGACATGCGAGAGGCTTTGCTGGGCTGTCTGCTGTTCATTCTCAGCCAGCGACACCAGCCGGACGCTGGGGAGACCTCCAGAGTGGACCGCCTGGAGAGGAAGGAGAGGTTAGGCTCCCAAAAGTGAGGCCATGAGTCCTGGCAGCAGCTGTATCCATCAAAATGCTTTTTTCTGGAGCAGGACAGTCCTGGCACCAGCACTGATCTCAGCCTGCCCAGTGGGTAGAAGATACAGTGGGGGCTGTGCATTAATTTGAGGGGACTGACCCAGAATGTCTCCCCACTCCCAGCAGAAATGTCTTTCTGGAAGGATGCCAAGCACCTAGCAACTGATCATTGCTCCTTCCTCCTCGCCCAAGACCTCTCCTAATCACCTCTGGCCTTAGAGGGGAGGGGAACTGACCTCCCCCAAACCCCTGCAAATGGGGACATCAAGGTCCAGTGAGGGACAATGCTTAACCTAGGGATAAGTGACAATTTAGGTGAGAGATGAGAATTGAATCCAGAGACTGTCTTCCAGACTCAGGACCTACCTTAAAATAAGACCTTGGGAAAAAAAAAAAAAGGACCTTGGTTCCCTGTGGAGGCAGACCTGTCCCCAAAGTCCTGCACTCACCAAGTGCTCAATAAATATTTGTTAATTTGAATTCTCTGGATGCCTTTGAAAGTCTAATCACCCAGATTCCTGCCTTGCAGCACAGTTTACCCAGGCCAGGCAGCTGGTGGGGGGTGGGTGGAGAGGGGAGGACAACTGCAAGCCTTTCTTTTGCTACCAATTCCATTGTAGGTCTCAGTTCTCACAGCCTGGAATTTGTTTCCAGTGCTTAACTTCAGGTTGTATGTCACACTGTGACCCAGTAAGGTCTTGAGTCTGTCTCCAGGGAAGATTGGCTGGCTAGCTCACAGTAGGGAGGAAAATGTCCTCAAGTGAGTTTGGAGACTTCTCAGCTAGAGGTGGTGGGAAGAGGGAGATTTGTTTGCTAAGGGACTCTGTGAGCAGCTCCTGTGGGAGGCAGTGCCCCTGAGAGACACTCCACCCTAGAAGAGGTCTGGGTTGGGTGGGTCACCCAGATAATTCCCATCATCATTTCCTCCTGCCCAAAGGGAGGCACCTCAGGGGTCAAATTAAGAGTTGTTAGACACACTTGCATGCCAGCCTCTGGGTAATTTGCTTATTCTTCCCAGGCATTAATCCTCCCTCCCTGAGTGAGTCCTGGCCTCTATCCAGGGTCAGGGGAAGATAGTGAGGAATACAGAGACCTGTGGGGACCCCATCTCCTCCCCACACCTGTCAGAAGCCAGGGCTGGGCTTAGAAGTGAGACCAGAGCTCTGCATCCCCATCCCAGCCCTGCGTGACTTTCCGCCAGCACCCTCCAACCCACCTCCTATCTGCTTCCTTCTGGAGTCCTCAAAAGCCAGTGCACGTGCTCGCCCCTCTCGGGAAGGCGACCTGGGGGCAGAGGCGAGGTGAAGGGGTTCCGAGGTCCTGGGCCCCTAACCCGGACCCACTTGGTGGCCTCGGGTGCCCAAAGGCACCTGCAGCGCCGGCCGCCCTTCCCGGGCCGAAGGGCCCCTCCCATTGGGCCTGCTCTGGCCTCCGTTCCCGCCCGCTGCCTGGAGCGCTCCCCGCCCCCGAGCCGCGAGCAGCGCCTTGCCGGACAGAGCCGGCCGCCGAGCGCGGGGAGGGCCCGGGATCGCCCGTTGCAGCCATTCTCCCGCCCGGCGGCAGGGACCGGTCAGGCCCGCCGCGGGCTGCGCTCTCCGGCCATGGCTACGGCCCCAGCCCGGAGGTGAGGAGGGAGAGAGGCCAGGGGCCCGCCAGCCGGGGAATTGCCCCATCCCCCCGCCCCAGTCCGGATGCCGCCTCCAAACTCTCAGCAGGTGCGCGGGGCGGGGGCCGCGGGGAAGGGCCTGGTGGGGTGGGGGCGGGGCCTGCGCGGTTCTCACGCTGCCCCACGGGGCCAGCTGGCCGCGTAGGGGGACTTACTCGGGCAGAGTTTATCAGTGGGGCCGGAATCTGCGGTTCCTGGAAGAGGGGATAGTTTTCTGGGACTTTGAAAGCCTGCAGTTAGATAACTGCCTCCCCCCCGCGCCCCGCACCCCCCAGCCCACCACCACCATACAGATGCCCCCAAGATCAGAGACCTGCCCAGAGCAGAGGCTGGGGGTAGTGGGCAGACGTCTGGGAAATTAAACTAGAAGACCAAGCCCAGACCTAGCGAACAAAGATATAAGTCTTCTTGAGCCCTGATCCTGTACCCACCCTGTGTACACACCTGCCTTTATTTAAAATTTTGATGTTTTATTCATCATGGATTCTTCTTGTTAACTTTGATTTTTAGACATTGCATTAAAATTTATCTTGGTTAGTGTGCTTTTTGGCACCCCCTTAAATTTTGCACCTCTTTAAATTTTGAGCCTCAACCAGTGCCTCACTGGCCTCTTCCCTAGTCCCAACCCTGCCCAGGAGCCATGGCAATACAGTCACAAACACAACTGAGACCATAGACAGTCATGAAACATGTGCTGGTGACAGACCTCCAGGCCAGCAAACACTTGAGCAAACACATGGCTTGTTGGTGACAGCTGAAAAGACACAGGCCTGGGGAGGGATAGGACTGCGTGTGAGGTGCAAAGGAGAGGAGGGAGTCTGGGGCAAGCCACAGACCCAAATAGGGTAGAGAGTGGGGGTGCAGCTGGACCAGCCCTCCCCACCCCACTCCTGTGACAGGGACCTAAGGGAGCCCAGGGAGAGAGAGCGCCATAAGACTGGGCAGAGGGTGAAGAGGACTGGCAGGGTTTGGCTAGAAAAATTCTGGGCAAGGCTGAGTTGGGGCTCGGGGGCTATCCAGCAGAGGGCTCTGGCACCCAGCAACTGCCTCTGCCTAGGGAGGCAGCTCCGGAGGGGTGTGGGTGCTGGCTGGGGGCCCAGGCAGGGTGTGCGCCAGATGGGCTTCTCTCCAACAATAATGGCCCTGGCTGTTGCCATCTGCTGAGCCCGGCCAGGCCCCATCGGGGGTGGGGAGAGGAACCAATTCTGCATTCTGGCCTGCGACCCTCACCACTTCCCTCCGGTTTCCTTCCATTTCCAGCCCCGTATGCACACAACTGTAGCCACTGACCACCAGCCTGGCCGTGTCTGGCAGATCTGTCTGACAACTATGCCTGCCACCCCCACAGGCTCAGAGAGGGGGAAAGGAAGGTGGGAAGAGAAGCAGGGGCCAAGGAAGAGGGCAGAGGAGGGCTAGGAGAGGAAGAGAGAGAGACTGGACAAACATGAGGGCAGGAATCAGAGGGTTGTGGACAGACATGAAACCACTCTCAAGCCGTGGGACAGCGCCTAGAAAAATATTGTCTTCCTGTCCTCTGTTTGGTTTAGGGCTGGGGGATTAGATGTGTGTCATTTCTGTGGAACGTGGAGCCAGAAGGCTGGGGGCACCCTGTCTGCCTCTCTGAAGTAGCTTGGGGAGAGCCCACCTACCCTAAGTGAAAAGCTACCTCTCTCCTCAGGGCCCAGTCAGTCTCTCTGGGGAGAGGGTGTGGCCCTACTTATCTCTATGGCACTAGTATTGCTAATTGGTAATCAGTGTCTATTGCTAATTGTTAATCAGTGTCTATAGCTTCTGGAGGGGACAGGCCTCTGGGTAGTTGTGGTGAGGTGGGCAGCCAGGATTGGATTTTCTCTCCTCAGGACGTCACTAGCCTTTGGATTGTCCTCTGGCACTGGGTGCTGCTGTAGGGGCAGTGAGTGACCCCCATCCCATCCCAGCCGATTTACTGCCCAACAAGAACAAGAGTCCTTCCCGGTCCCTTGGAAGTATACGATAGACCACCTCCTCAGCCGCCCACCCCCTTCCTCCTCAGCTAGTGGAGGATGTAGAGCTCAGCAAGGCTTCCGCCTCTGAGGAATCTCTCCAGGCTGGGACAATGGGATTCACTCAGGATGCAAGGCTGTTCCTGGCTGTTTCTCTTGCTATTCCCAACTGTGCCTCAGTTTTCCAAAGTGCTGGATTTAGAAAGGGTGACTCATGTGGAGGTTACAGGGCTGCGCCTCTACCCCCTCTCCACACACACACACACACAGCCACACATGCCTTCCAAGTCAGAGTTGTGGGTGGTGTGGCGTTTGTGTGCCTGTGGCCAGGTTTGTATGTGTCAGAGGTGGAAAGCGCACCATGCAGGTCACAGAACAGTTAAGTTGGAGGGATCCCAACAGGAGCTGGGGGTGGAGGTGGGGCGGGGGGAGTTGGACAGAGGCAATTTTGAAGTAAAAGAAAAAGAGGAGGGGCCTGAAAAGAAGAAGGTGGCATTGAAAGGAGGGCGCTGGAAAAATAGGTGCAGTGTGAGGGAAAGTGGAGTGGGCGGGGTTTGGGAAGGATAACGGAACATATGAGACGGAGTGTGGAAATGGGGACGTCTGGGCCTGTCTGAGTAGAGGGTTTGTAGACGGGAGAGTCCCGAGACTCATTCTGTAGCAGTGTGCGTAACCGGGCGCAGAGGAGACTGGGGTACCCAATGTGGGTCTGTACCCCTTTAGCTCCATGTGCCCCACATGACGGGCAGGCTCTGGTGTGCCAGCGTCCAAAGAGGTCCTATCTACAGAAATAGGAACGCGAACTGGCGGCCCCTAGGGGCGCAGGGTCTCGGGGTAGGGGCCCCAGAGCATGCAGAGCCGCTGTGCGAGTGGCAGGGGCGGGCCGGGGGCGGGGCTGGGGGCGGGTCGGTGTTGGGGGAAATGGTGGCCGGCGCTGGGCCCGGGAGGGCCCAGCCGAGGGTGGGTTTGAATGTGCTCAGACGGGCGCGGAAAGCTGCCGGCAGAGCGCGCCGATCTCGGCGAAGAAGGAGTCCTTCTTCAGCAGGTGCCCGGGACTGGGGGGTTGGGGGGCTGGGGAGCTGGGGACGTCCGGGGCAGAAGGCGCCACACCCCGCTTGCCGCGAGGGGAGGGAGGCCGGGCCTGACAGCTCCGCAGCCCTGAGAGAGGACGCCAGGTGGGGTACTGGCTTCCCGCGCGCGGAGCGTGCGGCGCCGCGCAGCGCGTGGTGTGCAGCGGCTGGGGGCGCCTGGGGACCCTGCGGGGACAAGACCCAGGACCCGAGCAGAGTGTGGGCAGCCTGCCTCCCGCAGGGGGCAGGCGAGTGGACGGTTGATCCGGATCGATCTAGTTGTTGGTACAGAGGAGGGCCTGCGCCGCTGACTGCGCTGGGTGAGGGGTGAGGATGGAGGGACGCGAATGGAGGTGGAGGAGCTGTCTCTTTAACCCCTGGCTTTTACTGGCCACACTCGTGTTGCTGGCTTCTCCTTCCTGGGCGCGCCCTAATTTACTCATTTACTATGAGTGTGAGTGAGTGAAAGGACAAGGACACAGAAACCCAGGTTTTCTTACCAGAGGAGAGCAGTAGTGGCTGAAGGCTGGTTACACCTCTGTCCCTTACCCCTCTCTGGGCTCTCTCTCCAACCCTGTGGCCTTTGCCTACTTCTCTCACTAACCTCCAGACCCCCTAGCTTGTCCTGCCTGTGTAAGCTCTCTGTGCTAGCAAGTATGTGATGGGGAGGGGGTGGGGTGTCTTATACATGACAGTCATGTCAGGTATAAAAATGTTAAAAGAGGGGCAGGGGACTAAAAAAAAAAAAAAAGAAAAAAAAATGTTAAAAGTAAATCAAAACCTCAGCCCCGCCCCAACTCCTACGCAGAAAGGGAAGGTAAAAGCCTCAGACACTTGGGAATAACGGGCCCCACAGATCATCCATTAAGGAAATTTCTTGCTAACCTCCCATAAACAAGGACATGCAGATTGTACCTATGTCTAGCACCTAAAACTCAAGGCTATCCAATTCCACACTAATAATGAATTACAAGTTTATTTCACAGGTAACACAGACTAGGAATGATGTGGGCCCCCACCGCATTTTTTCCCTTTAGTTAGAGCAGAGTCCCCCCACCCCATCTTCTAGTTTCCAGGGCTAGCTGAGAAGCAGCCTTTATACCTCCCTCTCCAACCTAGAAGGAGACTAGAATGAGCTGTATATTAATTTGAATCCTTGCTCCCTCCCTCACTAGGCTCTGTGACCTTAGGCAAGTCAGTCAACCTCTCTGAATCTCAGCCAGCCGTATCTGTTCAGTGGCAGCAATCTAGTACTTGTTTATGGGTGGTGTGAGGAAAAGAGGGGATCAGATCTGCAGGTAGTGGCTGGCCTCATATGGAATCCTGGGGAGTGGAAAATTTGATGCTACCACAAGGATGTCTAGAAGCTGGGGTGCATGAGAGGTGTTGGGAACCTGGGAATAGGGTGGTGCTCAATTTGGTGGCTGCTTTCAGGGCTCCATCTTGGCAGGCCAGGGCGTGCCTGGAGGGATACCAGATTCTCTGAGCTGCTATCAGATCCCTGGTTGCTGCTGGGCAAAGGCAGACAGGAACAAAACATCTAGGCTGGCCAGCTGAGTGTTAGGATGTGGGCAGGAGGACCGGGCTGCCTATGGAGTTAAATTGTGCTCAGGACTGGGGTAGGGACTGCTGAGAACAGAAAGCAGGGGTGTAGCTGGGAGGAGGGCAGAAATAAATTCTTTTTCTCTAAGCCTAAGGCAGTTTTACCCAGGGGACGGGGAGCTATACCCCCATGCCAGTCCCCACCTGGCTTGAAGCCGCACCTGCTCTTAACTGCCAGGAACCTTGCCTGGGGTGGGGGGGGGCAGGACACAGGATGTGCTGTCCTGAGAAGCTGGTGGGGGGTGCCCTCCCTACTCCCTACTAGAAAACCTGAGACCTGGGCCTTTTCTCCCCCACCCCGGTGGGGTCCTCTTGCCTCCACCCCTCTAGAAAATGTAAATACTGTTGTTCATCACTGGGTCCTGTTGCCTAGAACAGTGCCTAGCTGTCATGCAGAGGTCCTCAGTAAATATTTGTTAAGAGGATGATTGGAAGGATCCTATGCCTCCATCTGGAGGTGTGTGGGTCTGCTCCTCCCCTCCCTGTCCTACAACCCAGGTGTGGGCTGGGGGGCTGAGGAAGACCTTTGGAGAGTCTGGACTTTACCCAGGGAGGGGTAGAAAAAGCCCCTGGAGGGTCTCAGCGTGGCCAGCTGCATTTGTTTGTCTCAGGGCAGGGCCTGGCGCCTTGGCTGCACCTGTGAGGCTGTCTGCACCTGTGAGGCTGTCGCCTCAGCTCCCCTGCTGAGCCTCCTTGTTCTCTTATCTCCCGGAGCTAGCTACCTATCTACCTATCTACCGGTAGTCTTTTATCTCCTGGCTGGCTGTGCTTCTGCTTCTTCACTTGTGAGGTTCTCAGAATGGGGCCCCATGAAGCGTAAGGGACTCTCTCCTGATGTGCCCTGTGCCACCATTTTCATTCTGGACCCTCACCCAGGAGCCCGCAGACAAGTCTTGCTGCCTGAACCTGGACTAGGAGCACCTCCTAGAGACTGCCCAGGCCCCCTCTGCTCCAACCTTTCTGTGGGTGTGTCTGGGGGTCCGGTGAGTGCCTACAGGAGGGTGGGGAAGCCTGTTCTCATGCCCCAAACAGCGAGACCTGGTCCCAGAGCTAGGCCCTCGTGTGGGGAATGTGCCAGTCATGTCTGCCTGGCTTCCCATGCCATCCACCAGGAAAACTATTTAATCTGCTGGTGCCAGGGGGCCTCCCCCAACAGAGGTAGGGAGCAGAGAGGGACGTTGAGGCTGGAGGCTAGGAGCTTTGAGACTATGCAGTTAGTCAGAGCCTATGCCCTCCACTCCTCCAATCTTCCCTTCAAGGTCACTGTCAGAAAGGGGAAGAGGACAGGGGCCTGGGGCTGACACAGAGAGGAACAAAGGGGGAAGTGGGTGACCCTGGGGCCAGGACTCGGGGGAGTGATCATGCTGGAGTGTGGGAGGGGCTATTTTCCCACTCCCATTGTGAAATATTTTCCTAGAAAACTGGCTAGCAACTAGGAAGCCCCTGGGCAATGGCTGGAAAGAAAGGTTAAGTGCCACTAGCAGAGAGGCTGGGGTGTGTGTGCCCCTAGGAGGGGACATTCTCTCCAAAGCCCACCCAAGTCATGAATCCAGGGGCTCCCCAGGGAGGGTGGAGAGCCTGTCTGGCTTGGCCTCAGTCATCATCCCTGTAGTCCCTGCTCCTGCAGATCTGTTTGTTTGCTGCCCTCCTCCTCTGCTCCCTCTTACCCTCTGCTCTGTCTCCACTTTGTTTCTCTCCTTCCATTGTCATCACTGTCCCTGACCGCTCTTACCCTCTTCCCTGCCGCCTTTGACTGCCTTTCCCTCCCTCTCAATCATACTTCCTCCTCCTTCCCTCCCGCTCTCCACCCGCCTGTTTCCCAGCTTATAAACTGCTTCGGCTGCTGGATAAAAATAGCAGTGGCAGCGGCCAGGCCGGGAGCCAGGTAGAGCCTGAGCAGGCAGGGGGGGTGCCCAACGGGACAGGTCTGCAGGGCCAGGGGGCCGGCAGGGGATCAAGTTGATTGGTCCTGAGGGGCAGAGTCCAGCAGGGGTCTTGCTGGACTCCTCAGCTTGCCTGCTCTGCCTGCCCTGCCCCCTCCTACCCCCAAGAGTCGAAGGAGGCCTGTGAGGACACAGGGCCAAGACCGAGCCTCACACTGCTTCTGCCCCCAGCAGGTACCAGAGGGAGAGAGCTATCAACCAGGCAAAGCTGAGAATACCATCGCCATGACAACCAGTCACCAGCCTCAGGACAGGTAAGGGAGGGGGTCTGGGCTGTGGATCCAGGGAATGGGTTTCCAGGGGCTTGGGTGTGGTGTCCCTTGGAATTTGGAGTTGCTGTGAGTGAGGTGTGCATCAGGGGTGGGACCGCGCATGCCTTGGCTGGGTGCTGGCTGGGGTGTTTGTGGGGAGGGCCAGGTGGGTGGGCAGCGGTCCTTCCCTCGCCTGTCAGTGTTTCCACTGTTGCTCTCCAGCCAGTCGGCAGCTTCCGGCTCCTCTCACCACCACTGTGGGGTGACACTTGGCAGCGCCTCTCATTCCAGAGCACATCTGGCAGAACTGCCCTGGGTCCTCTACCTTAGATGACCTTGGCCCACCCTGGTCCTTGATCTAAACTTCCTCTCACTTCCCCGCCCCTGGAGCCCGAACACCCTCAAGTTAGACTTGCAGTTATGATCGTGAATATGTGTTTTGGAAAAAGAGGTGGTAGCATGATTTAATTTCTCCTAGGGGTCTGGGACCCAAGAGAGTTGAGGAGGTGATGCCTCGAAGGTCCAAAATGCCTTCCAGGTGTCAGGCTCTGTCCTTCTCTCCAACTCAGGCCCCAAACCCCTCACATCCCCTCTGCCCACCCCACCTCCCTCCTGTGCCAAAGGCTGTGAGACTAGGCCACTTCTGCCTGTGAGGCCTGGAGCACTTTGCTTGATCTCTCTGGGACCATTTCCCCACCTGTGAAATAGAGGTAAGAGTATCCATTCACAGGGGTTTATCTGCGGGGGAGAGAATTTAGGAGGCGCAGTAAGTGCAGGCCCACGTGGTTCACTGCATCCCCTCTCCTGATCCCAGGCCGCCCATCCCAGCCTGGCCTCTCCTGGGCAGTTCCCTGAAGCCCTCGCATCTCCGTCCACCTGGTCGCACTGCTTGCTCATTTCCCAGCCCCACCTCTGAACTGTCTGTCCTGTGTGCCTTTGGCTGGGAGTTTTTCCTTCCATCTGGGCCTCTGAATCCAGACTTTAGCTTCTCTACTTCAGGGAGAGTGTGTATGTGAGGAACTTGGGGCTGCGGCTGTAATAGCTCAGACCTGCCCGCTAGGGGAGCTCACCAGTTCCTCCCTGTGTGGGGCCTGCTAGCGGTCAGGCCCCTGCACTCTGGCCAGACCTGTCTCCTCACCGCCTTGGGCTTTCTCCTGCCATCTCTGAAGAAAGCTGGTGTTGGCTGTGAGGAGGGCATGGCAGACACATCTGGAGATCTTGATGTGGGGGGCTGGGGTTCCTAAGCTTGCAGGCAAGGCCTACCTGGGGGAAGCTGGCCTGTCCCAGACAGGCCTGGAGGTGCAGGGATTGGGGCATTGTCCTGGCCAAAGCTGGGCAGCCCTTGTTTACTGCTCTGGGGCTCAGATGACGTCCAGTGGCCCCGTACCTCCTGGTCTGCCCTGGGTGGTATGACCTACAAAACCAGTTCTGCCTGGGCCAGGAGAAAATAGCCCTAGCTCCCTCATTTCCCAGCTGCCCTGAGGCACCCTGCCCGCCTGCCCCTTCTAGGTCCATAATGGTCTGAGAGTTCAACCTCAGAATCCTCTTCAGGGAACCACACAGTCCCTGCCCAGACTGCATAATCACTTCCAGCCTGCCTAGTGGGGGTGGAAGTCACTTGCTGTCTGCTTTTTCACTCACCCGCCCACCCCGAGCCCTTTCGCAGGGTTTCCAAAACCATCTCCGGATGTGTGGGTCACACTGGTTCCCAGCCTGCAGGGTCCCCAGGGCCTCCCAGGACTGAGAACCAGGGTCCTGTTAGCCATGCCATTCTGTGACCCCACTGCCTGAGTTCCAGCTGACCCTTTTGTGGCCTGTGTGCCCTTTTCCCTATCCCAGGACAGCCCGCCACCCCATCCACCCCCATAAGAGACACAGGCACATGGACAAAAACACAGATGCCTTGAGCCCTGGGACAGCGGGAGAGACTGACAGGCAGGGAGGGACGGAGCTTCCCCAGGACCGATCTGGGAAGGGGGTGGGGTGGTGGGTCAGTCACTTGGCCCCTCTTTCCTCTCCTAGATACAAAGCTGTCTGGCTTATCTTCTTCATGCTGGGCCTGGGGACACTGCTCCCTTGGAATTTTTTCATGACGGCCACTCAGGTGAGACTGGAGGGACGGGGCTCCAGGGGCCATGTCCACTGGGCATGCGGGTCCCTGAGTCTATACTTGCGGGCCCAGGGAGAGCGATTTCAACACTCCTCTCTGCAACCCACACAGTATTTCACAAACCGCCTGGACATGTCCCAGAATGTGTCTTTGGTCACTGCCAGACTGAGCAAAGACATCCAGGCCTCGGCTGCCCCCACAACAGCCTCGCCAGCCCGGAACTCTCTCAGTGCCCTCTTCAACAATGTCATGACCATATGTGCCATGCTACCCCTGCTGCTCTTCACCTGCCTCAACTCCTTCCTGCATCAGAGGTGAGCACCCAGCCCCACCCCAGCCGGACCCTCGCTGCCTCCTGTACCCCCTGGCTGGGCCCCGGGTTTACCCACGCCTCTCTGCCACCCTCGGCCTCTCCTGGCAGGATCTCCCAGTCGGTACGGATCCTGGGCAGCCTGGTGGCCATCCTGCTGGTGTTCCTGATCACTGCCATCCTGGTGAAGGTGCAGCTGGATGCGCTGCCATTCTTCGTCATCACCATGGTCAAGATCATGCTCATTAACTGTAAGCCAGGAGGGGGCCTGAAGGCTGAGACCTCCCACATACCCCTGCTCTTCTTTCAGACGTGCTGTCAGCCTGGGGAGGGCCCATCCCTCCCCTGTGGAAGGGAGTGGATGCTGTGGGGGCCACTTGGGATTCAGAGGTCTAAGCAGGCCTGGACCAGGTTTGGGGGGTGCAGAGAAAGGGCCAGCTCAGTGTCACTGCTCACTGGGAATACAGCAGGAGTTACAGGGACCCCCGATTGCCAGCCCCAGCTCCCTGCTGATGCCCACCTTGTTTCCCCAGCATTTGGTGCCATCCTGCAGGGCAGCCTGTTCGGACTGGCTGGCCTCCTGCCAGCCAGCTACACAGCCCCCATCATGAGTGGCCAGGGCCTAGCAGGCTTCTTCACCTCAGTGGCCATGATCTGCGCCATTGCCAGTAAGTCCTGCTGTCCATCTGCCCAGTGCCCTGGTGGTGGCGGAGGAGGGGATTGGGCCTGTCTCTGATCACTGACACCACCCCAGGTGGCTCGGAGCTGTCAGAAAGTGCCTTCGGCTACTTTATCACAGCCTGTGTCGTTATCATTTTGACCATCATCTGTTACCTGGGCCTGCCCCGACTGGTGAGCAAATTGGGGGAGCTGGGGTTTGGGGTCCCAGAGGTCTGGGGTTCCTAAGGGTGTTCAGAGGCCGAAACCTGGGGGAGGCGGAAATTCTGAATATTCTGCCTCTGAATCCACCTCCCGTCTCCCTTACTTGATAGGAATTCTACCGCTACTACCAGCAGCTCAAGCTCGAAGGGCCTGGGGAGCAGGAGACCAAGTTGGACCTCATTAGCAAAGGTCTGCAGAGCCTGAGGAAGCTGGGGTGGGGACAGCATGCCAGGAGGGGGACATGTGAGCAAAGAGGACCAGAACAAGTGTACTGTTTTACCTGGCAGCCCTGAGCCAGAGGACAGGGGGACCAGGGATGGGGTGAAGGGACAGCAGGAAATAAGTGCTGGGAAAGGTAAAAGGGGGGAAGATCCTGGATGACCTTGAATACTTGAGGCAGTTGGACTGAAGGCGGTGGGAGGCAAGTTCGGATTCTTGGGCAGGGAGCAACATGACCTGAGGCTCTTGGGAGAGGTCAGGCCTCAGGGGTCTCTAGGCGTGGGGACTTGAAGGGGAGCTCTAGGCTAGGGTTAGGGTGTGGCTGTGGACTGGCAAAGGAGGTGTCCACCTCCAACTAATCCCAGCCCCTTTCGGGAATGTTTGTGTCATCTCCTGTTGCTCTGTCTTCCCCACAACTTGAAGGTCCTTCCACAACCTGTCACCCCCCAGGAGAGGAGCCAAGAGCAGGCAAAGAGGAGTCCGGGGTTTCAGCCTCCAACTCTGGGCCCACCAACAATAGCCACTGTATCAGAGCCATCCTCAAAAATGTACGCAGGGCAGGGTGTCCTACCCTCTACCCCGCACCCTCTTTCTCTCCTTTTGTTCCTTCTCCCCTGTCACCCATCTCCTCCCTTACAGACTTGAGACAATCACTCTCCTGGATTCTTTCATGTGTGTGTGTGCGTGTATGTGTGTGTGTGTGTGTGTGTGTGTGTGTGTGTGTGAGAGAGAGAGAGAAGGGTGGGGATTCTTGGTTCTTTAATGCCCAACCACCATGAAGACACAGGGACCTGGGTGAATCCCCTTCCCCTTCTCTCCAGATCTCAGTCCTGGCCTTCTCTGTCTGCTTCATCTTCACTATCACCATTGGGATGTTTCCCGCTGTGGTTGTTGAGGTCAAGTCCAGCATCGCGGGCACCAGCGCCTGGGGTGAGGATGCCACAGGTTCCCAGGATGGAGACAGACAGGATCTTGAGCCGGGCTGGGAGTAAGGGGTGAGAGGGAGCCTGGGTTACCTTCTCCCCAGCTAGACTTTCCTGGGTCCATTTGCCCTTCCCTGGGCTGGAAGCATCTTCTCCATTTTACTGTTGGGGAAGCTGAGGCCCAGTGAGGGTCAGGGTTGCTATATCTGTCTCTCGGGGCCTGATAACCATCCCCTAATCTAATCTCCTCCTCCTCTTCCAGGAAAGTACTTCATTGCTGTGTCCTGCTTCTTGACTTTCAATATCTTTGACTGGCTGGGCCGGAGCCTCACTGCTGTATTAATGTGGGTAAGTGGAAGAAGGTCCACTAGGTCCCTGGGGGAGGGGAGAGTCCAGCCTGAGACCCAGAAAGTATGGTGGTAAGTGGACCATTTTTTTCCAAGTTGAGACGTAATTTATGTATAGTTAGGTGTACAAGTCTTAAGTGTACAACATAATGCATATATGTATTTGCATACACACCTAGTTCAAGATGTAGACTATTTCCAGCGTTCCAGAAGGCTTCACTGTGCGCCCCCAGTCAGTGCTCCCCCAAGAGTAACCAGGCTTTGAGGTTTCTTTCAGGTCCTGAGGGGCCCCAGATGGAGTCCGGGGGCCTGGCTGTGCCCTGGGGACCAGCCGGGGCTGAAACACTGCCTGATACCCACAGCCTGGGAAGGACAGTCGTTGGCTGCCAGGCCTGGTGCTGGCCCGGGTGGTATTCGTGCCCCTGCTGCTGCTGTGCAACGTCCAGCCCCGCCGCTACCTCGCTGTGGTCTTTGAGCACGACGCCTGGTTCATCTTTTTCATGGCCGCCTTTGCCTTCTCCAATGGCTACCTCGCCAGCCTCTGCATGTGCTTTGGGCCCAAGTGAGTGGGGCTGGGGTGGGGAACTTGGTGGCATCGGGCAGGTTCTAGAGCTCTAGTGGGGGACTCATTTGAAGGAGAGAGGGCAAAAGGAGAGTCCCTGATTCTGGAGCTGGGGAGGGGCCCCTAGGCTGAGGGCAGGGGTAGGCAGTGGAGGAGTGGGTGCCCAAGCTTACTTAGGTGGAGATGTGGGAGGGGGGCTCTCAGGGGAGGTTGAAAGATGGCCCCCAGTCCACGCTCCCCCAAGAGGGAAAAGCCAGGCTGGGGTGTGAAGGCAGGATGGGTTGGTCGGCAGAATAGGTACTCAGGCATGTTTCCCCACTCAGCCCTCCTTCCACGCTAGATGCTCTGGGCTGGGGCAGGGGCCGTCCTAAGGTAGCTTTGCCCTTCCTTCTTTAGGAAAGTGAAGCCAGCTGAGGCAGAGACAGCAGGAACTATCATGGCCTTCTTTCTGTGTTTGGGCCTGGCGCTGGGGGCTGTCTTCTCCTTCCTGTTCCGGGCAATTGTGTGACCATGGATGGACAGAAGGACTGCACTGCCTGCCTGCCTCCTCCCCCTTCCTTCTCCTGCCGGGCATGGGCAGGATTGGTCTGGAGGTTTTCTTTCTCATGGCCTGTGCTGGGCCTGGATGTCCAGGCCCTGGGGAGACAGCCTCTGTGGATGGACAGTGGGGACATTGTGGGTTTCAGGGTCAGAGTCAAGGGAGGGGCGCAGTGTCTGCATCTGCTTGAGTTTCTCCACACTTGGCTCTGATTCCTGCTTGAACAGGGCAGCAGAGGTTCTTGGGCTCAGTGTGTGCGTGTGTGTGTGTGTGTGTGTGTGTGTGTGTGCGTGCGCGCGCGCGCGCGCGCGCGCGTGTGTCTGCCTGTACCAGTGGTGGCTAGGGGTCAGGACTGACCGTTGTGTGGTCTGATCTGGTATTTCCCCTTCCCCGGTTCTCTCCACATGCCCCTCCCGGCTCTCCCTGCCCAGTTCCTACCCATCATGCACCCTGTACAGTTCCTATTTTACTGCCTTTTTTTATATTTGACAGAAACCAGGTGCCTTCAGAGGCTCTCTAATTAAACCCTTTTTTTTTTCTCCACGGCTCCCTGTGTCCTCTAGCCATGGTTTCATGCCCTGGAGAGGGCAGAGGGCTTGGCAGCCTGAGTCTGGGGGCATGAGCATGACCCAGCTGGGCCTTGGCCAGGCCTGGGCCTGTGTTGAGGGCAGGTGGTGGTGGTGGTGGGGTTAGACCTCTTGGCCTCGGAGGGGCTGCAGTGCCCCCTGCTGGGGCCACAGGGGAGGGGCAGGCCTGGAACCAGGACATGGGGACTGTTGGCCTAGACTGAGAAAGGCCAAGTTTTTCTTTGTTGCTTCATTCCTTCTTTCACAGGACTGGGGATGGAGACAGCTCCCTGTTTTTCCTTTGTCTTCACTGCCACCCCCTCCACTCTGTTCTCAGCCCAGGAATGAGCACCGCAGAACTGGCCAGCTCCTGGCCGTACTCCCACACCACTGGGCAGGAAGAGACTGAGCCTGAGGGTTCTCCCCTACCTGGCACTCTGCCCTGACACCAAAGCTCAGCTTGCCAGACTTCCCGGGGAACAAGGGGCCTATGTGTCCTCACATTGGAGGCAGACCTTCCCCTCTTCAACCCCAAACTCTGGCTTAGGGAGGGGCGGGTTGATGTGGGACTATGGGAGTTTCTCAGACGGGGGTCCCTACGCTGGGACCCACTTCTCAAGCATGCCTTCCTGACTGGAGGTGGGAGGAGAGTTCTGTCGCCCACCCTCCCCCCCCCCCACCGAGGGGCAGACTCCTGTCAGGGAGGCAGAAGGCTCAGCGGGGCTGCTCACTGATCCCTGACCAGCAGAGTGCTACTGAGTCAGCACCTTCATCAGGGCTTCCTTTCTCACAGGAGTTTAACTTAATTGAGGGCTTCAGGCCTCATTAAGGGCTGTTAGCACATGTTTAAGGCTCTTTGATGAGCTCTGCGCCCTGATGCGGTAGCTAAGTATACCATTGTACTGGGAACAAGTCCATGTACTAATTTGTCAAACCAGAGTGTGTATCTGAGGTGGTAGAAAACAAGGTATTCCTTTCCTATCAGGTTCAGAAGCTGAGGGGTTCCCTGAGGACCCTTCCTCCAGTTAGCAGTGCCCTTTGGCAGTGAATCAAGCTGAAAACACAGCCTGAGGGCTCTTTCTCCTCTTCTGGACCACAGTCCTCCCTGCTGTCCCCATTGTACCCAAACTCTGAGAGCCCTATTGGCATCCTTCTTCAGCGCCAGCCTCCCCTCATGGATCCTGTATTTCTTCCTCAGGTCCCCACACTGCTTCCTGCCTGGCCTTTTGGGACTTCCTCCCAGGTCTTCCAATTTGTCATATACATGGCCACAAGAATAATCTGAAAACAAATTTAGGGATATGCTGGTCCCTGTCCCTGGAGCATGCTTCTGTCTCCCTAAGCATTTCCCAATCCTACACCAGCGACAGCCAGTTTGTACAATTTCTTCTCTGCCCCTCAGAGCTTTCATAACATTGTGACTTTTCTTCTTCTTCTTCCTTTTTTTTTTTAGAGACAGGGTCTCACTCTGGTGCCCAGTCTGGAGTACAGTGGTGAGATCATAGCTCACTGCAGCCTTGAACTCCTGGGCTCAGGTGATCCTCCCACTTCAGCTTCCCAAGTAGCTGGGATTACAGGTGCACGCCACCATGCCCAACTAATTTTTTGTAGAAATGGGGTCTCACTATGTTGCCCAGGCTGGTCTCAAACTCCTGGCCTCTAAGTGATCCTCCTGCCTCAGTTTCCCAAAGTGCTGGGATTACAGGTGTGAACCCCCATGCCTAGCCCATATTCTTATCTTACTCCAGCTATCAGACTATCATGTTTTTGAGGTTACGGTCTACTTTTTATGCACTTTTTGACTTTTCAAGCTATGTGATACCTGGCTCCCAGATGTACTCAGAAAATGTTTGCTTCACTGCATCTGTTTGTCCCAAGGTGGAACTCATCCCTCCGCACAGTCTTCACATGCCTGACTCCAGTGGGGTGGTGGCACTCATTGCCTATGCCCATGGGAGAGAGATGAGAGGTTAAGTAGGTTCTTCTCAACCCCAGCACTGATTTGAAGGAGGAAAAAAATATTTAGGATACAGTCACTTTCTCCCTTTCTGTACTTAAATTGATCTTGAAGAAAATTACTAGAATATTTTTTGCCTCAAATAGCAAATGCCCCCAAAATTGGTCTCCTTACTTCATTTCCATTCTCCTGACCTCTGTTTTCACCTATAAACTTGAGGTGGGTAGGAAAAGCCCCTCCCAGGCCTGCCCAACTGCAGTGGTGGCTCTTAACCACAAGCGGGCGCTCTGTGGGCAACGCCACCTTTGGGGGGCAGCAGCCTCCCCTACAGGACCTCCCCACTTACCTCCTAGCACTTTGCTTCCTATAAGGTAGGGAGGGCTGAGCATGAGAATCTGCCAGGTATCCCTGACTGCTTTGACTTGCCGCTGGTCATCACCATCTTTCCCTGTGACATTTCTGCTCAAAATAGCTGCTGTCCCTAGGGCGCCTGCCATTGCAATGCAGGAATGTCTGTGTTGTTTAATCTTTTCTAGTGGAGTGTTGGGGCTTAAACACTCTTAAAAAACTAAGAGTCCCAGTAAAATCAGCAGCCTTCGTGGAAAATAGCAATGAAAGCTCAGGTGTAATCTAGGAATTGGAATAAATTGTTGTGAGTTTAAGCTATGATAATTCAAAATGGCTGTAAGCAGAGAAATGCAGAATCATTTTAAAGAAATAGCTCTATCGTTTGGCCAGCAGGCCCTGCCTGAAACCTGAGTCTTCACACACACACACACACACACACACGCACACACACACACACAGGAAGAGGAAGAGTGGCTGTCTGCAGGGATGTCAGCCAGCAGATCTGCCTTGAGACCAGGTTGTCAGTGTCCACCCACACCCTGAGGCTGATCTGCTTCCTGGGACAAGTTGGCAGTGTGGAGATGGGCAGATCTCCCCGCCCCCCAACTCATCAATGGCCTTCGGTCCTAGCTGGGCTCCTCCAGCCCATCTCAATGTGATCTGGCTTCCTGGTAGGTGCTGGGGGCTAGGAATGTGCTCCCTCAGGACCCGCCCTGGCAGGCCTAGTGCTCCCTGGAAACAAGCAGGTTGGCATTCTGGTTCCAGACTGCAACGTGAGTGCTAAACGTGAGTCAGCAGGACCCTCACTAAGGCCTCTGCCCTCTCCCAGACCTTTCGGTGGGGAAGAGACAACCAGTTTGGATTCAGAGCCGGGTATTCCATCTTGGGCCTCCACGTGCCAGCTGTGTGACCCTGGACAAGTCATTCACCCTTTGTAGCCTCAATTCCTTTTCCTTAATACAGGATGACAATATATGTATGGACTGGAAATTTAGGCCGTCACTGCGGAGAGCCTGGATACGGGGAATCACGTGGCATTCCTAGGACGAGCCTCAGCGTGGTGGCCTCCCCCGTGATCTAGGCGATTCGTTGCCTCTTCCCCTCCATGTTTATTCCCCTCTCCCACTCCTCCAGACCCTGGAAGCTTCGAGAATCAAGTTTCACTTCTCCCATCCCAGCCATTTCCAATGTGGGTCCCTTCCCCGGGCGAACAGCCGAGAACCGCGAGAATGCGGGGCTGCAAGCCCCGGCGGGTCCAGAGCCCCAGAGGAACCGAGCCCCTGCCCCGCCCCGCGGCGAGGAGGGGAGGATGACGTCACCCGGCTCGTGCGCCCCCTGGCGGAAGCACTGCCCCGCTCTGCGCATCTCAGCCCCGGTGGGTGGGGGCCAAGACTGCGCGTCAGACCAAGTCCACTGCTCTCTGTGTCCCAGTGACCTTGAGCCAGGCACTCGGTCTCATGGTCGCTCCTCTGTAAAGCAGGGACAGTAACATTGGTCCTGCCTCCCGCGCGGGTCGTGAATCTCCGCTCTGTGCTCACTGTCTTACCTATGTGGTCTCATCCCACGTCCCACTGACCCTCTAAAGTGCTGACTTGCTATGCTCATTTTACTCCAGAAAACTGAGGCTGAAAGATTAAATGGTGGAAAAATATTCTGTAAACTGCAAAGTACCAGGTAAATATAAAGCAATCTCTCTCTCTCTCTCTCTCTCTCTCTCACACACACACACACACACACACACACACACACACACACACACACAGAGTTACCAAGCAGTGAAGGGGACAGAAAGTTACAGGCATCATGTAGCACCATAGGCAAGGTGGTCGACCTTCCTCCCTGGTCACTGAAACATTCCCGTGAGAGTCATCTCCTCTTTTTACATCCCCAGGGGGCCCAAGCCTCCCAGGATACTGAACTCTCATCTCATCCTGCCCAGGTGAAACCAGTGAAGTCCTTTCTGGGGTCTAACCCCAGCTCCTCCTGTGTGGTTTCCTCACCACCCAGCAGCCCTATCACAGCCCTACCAATCTGAGTGGAGGTGGGCCAGAAAGGCACTGAGCCCAGTACATGGCCCAGAAATCCAGCCAGTTGGGACCTGCACACTGAAAAAGAGTGACTTGTGCCTGAGACAGGACAGGTGGCAGGCAAAACAGTTAAGTAGGTCAGGGTTGTTTGTGGTGCCATCTGCCCCTGTACTTCCTCCGACTATGATCTGCTCTGGGCTGAATAGATTTGGGGTTAAGTTTTACCTTCTTAGTCAAAGGGGACCTTGAACACTGAACTATGCCCAAGACAAAAAGGAATGCCTGGTGGGCATGATGGCGGGAGGAAGACAGACATTTTGGACTGGGCTGACAAGAGCAGGCAGGCAGGACTCAGTCACCCCACTTAGGCCACTA